CCTTTGTTGTTTTTAGATATTGTATTATTTTAATTCATGTGTTGCCATCTTGTGTGTAAACACAACAATGTTTTACAAATTTAAATTTTTAATAAACTAGTGAGGCAAGGTTTGTTATTTTTAGTCAGAAATTTTACCAATTTCCAATTAATAAAATATTCCAAACTTAATATAAAACAAGTTAAGATTAAGTGTAAATATATACACAGAATCTGTTGCTTCCGATAAATACAGTTCAGTAAAAAGTTCTTACTTGCCAGAAAATAATTCTTGAGATAACCCCAGAAAGTTAAATCCACGTGACATCCAATTTTTGCGAGTAATTGAAAAATAAGATTATTAAATATCAATCTGTAAAACTACATTGACCATTTTAAACCTTAATGACACAAACCTTATGCTTCAAGTGACCACTGGCACCCACACTACCCAAGAATCAAACAAACATAAATATCATCCACTTCCGACACTAATTTTAGAAATGTGCTGAATGCTTGTCAACCATTCCAAAGCACTGGAAAAACATCACTTATTATAAGTTGAATTGTACTATTCAGAGATGACAGTTTCTACTGAAGATATGAAACTTGTATTTGTTAAAAACAAAGATTAATTTCGGAGATGGTTAAGATTAAAAATTAGATTTGAATGTTTAAGTTGAATAAACACTTTATAATAAGTGGTTGTTTTACGTATAAGTGTTAGCTAATGGGAATTAGAACATAAAGTATAATTTGTTCTGTTAAAACGTTTGCAGAGTTTCTAAGTTGGCTGCTGGACCAGTGAAACAATCATCATTAAAGCTTGATTAATATTTTTTTCAGGGTTCATTGATTGCTAACATGATCTTGGGAATGATCATCTTAAAGAGAAGGCAAGTTTTTATTATTTCTTTTTAAACATCTCTAGGAATGAGGCTAAAGTTAAATTCTATTAGTTGCAATAATAACTGATAAAAAGAAATTGGTGAAATTTGGTGGCTTCATTTTCTTTAAGCAATAAATGAGTGTTAGTATATTAAAGTCCATTCTAAATTCTGTTCTGCCAGTATGAACATAAATTAAAATTTTTAAGCATACTTAGACCACTAAATCGACACTGGTGTCACCAAAAGTTTCTGTACTTATTGTAGAATTGTAAATGAAAATTTCCCTTTAAGGAACTGATTTCTCTGTCTTTTTTTTTATACCAACAACAGGATGAAAATGTAAGGAAGTATAGGTTGTATAAAATAGTAATAGTCTTTAAAAGTTCAAAATTTTAACATGTAATGTGACAAAAATACTTGTTTGTGAAATAAAGAATACATAAACATAAAACTAGGACTAGCAACCACACAAAAGAAAGTTACATTTTTGTTTTTGAAAATACATTAACTTATATATAAAAAATACTTTTATAATTAATAACATTAAGACAATAAACTTCAGTTCATGCATAACCTTATTAATTTGTTGACTTGGTCTTTTACACTGTTTTATGTAAGATTGGTAAACATTATGTACAGGTCAGTGTGCAAATTAAAACTGTAAAGTAAAAAAGTAAGAAACAAATATTAAATATTAACTTTGAGCCAACTCATTAATGTAAAACATTACCTGTCAGACCACTCATTAATATAAAACATTACCTGTGAGCCAACTCATTAATATATAACATTACCTGTGAGCCAACTCATTAATATATAACATTACCTGTGAGACCACTCATTAATATATAACATTACCTGTCAGACCACTCATTAATATATAACATTACCTGTGAGACCACTCATTAATATAAAACATTACCCGTGAGGCCACTTATTAATATATAACATTAACCGTGAGGCCACTCATTAATATATAACATTACTTGTGAGACCACTCATTAATATATAACATTACCTGTGAGCCAACTCATTAAAGTAAAACATTACCTGTGAGACCACTCATTAATATATAACATTACCTGTCAGACCACTCATTAATATATAACATTACCCGTGAGACCACTCATTAATATATAACATTACTTGTGAGACCACTCGTTAATATATAACATTACCTGTGAGCCAACTCATTAAAGTAAAACATTACCTGTGAGCCAACTCATTAAAGTAAAACATTACCTGTGAGACCACTCATTAATATATAACATTACCTGTCAGACCACTCATTAATATATAACATTACCCGTGAGACCACTCATTAATATATAACATTACCCGTGAGACCACTCATTAATATATAACATTACCCGTGAGACCACT